GTCATTTTTTTATTTTTCTGTTGCCCTTTTGCAATTCATGATTAATAAAAATAATAAAATGTTACTTACAAATTAAAATCAGAAGAAATTTAACAAAGTTATAAACCGTGGCACTGCGAACGTCTAATCTGGTCTAGTACACCGATAGTGCTACTTGTTCATAGATGGCGCTTATAATTGAATTAAGTCGTATACCGAAGAAAAGTCGTATACCGAGCAAAATTTGTTTCGTCCAAACAGGACGTATTCCGAATTGGACGTATTCTAAAGCAGACGTATACCGAGGTTCCACTGTATCTATTTCAGAAGCAATTCTAGCATTAGAATCACCAAGAATCAAAATGTCGTTGTCATCATTAAAATCAAGAATCAACCTATCAAGATACTCTATCAATGAATCATGTTTATTAATAGAAATATAAACCAAGACAATTAAAAGTCTAGAATGATCATTAAACAAAAGTTTATCGAATGTAAGTTTAGAGATAATAAAGTTATCAGAGAGATGATGAATTTCCAACTTATCAAGCTTCCGAGAAACTACTAAGAACAAACCACCAGACGGTCTTCCAGTTTGTGAGCTAAAGATTCAGTAAAATAAAATTGAAGATTAATGTTGAAAGAAGGGTTTTCATTAAAGATGTCATCTATGATTCAGTTATACCAATAATATGATTTGAAAATATAAAATCAACAAAACTCGTGTCAGCAAAATTAGTATATAATAAACCTTGAGTATTCCAAGATAAAACCTTTAAATTAAAAAAAATCTGAGCAAGGGATAACTGGTAAAGTTTTTAATTTTCATCCATTTGACAATCCACCAACTTCACTGGTAATAAAAGGTTCAAGGTTCAATCTTCTTCAGCTTGTTATTCAATAGGTCATACATAAAATTATCTCCATCAATTGTTAAACAATCAGCTCTCATGAACACAGATTTACCTGTCACCTTATCCTCTCGATAAAAAGGAACAAGATATCTTTTCCTAATTCTCGATCTCCAATGTAAATCATCAAAAAACTTTACCCTGTAACAGTTTTCCCTCATTCAGATATTATGTACATTTCAGTAAATCAGTTTTTTTATCAGAGACAATGTCAAGTTCAGCCACCATCAAATTATTTTTTGAAACTGTTTTAAGATCTTTCACCAAAACAGAGTCTCCATTGGATATTTTAACAGATGACAGAATATCGAAAACCAAAGACAGAACTTCCGACAAACATTCCTCCAATCCGGTAATAACAATATTGTTTCTCTGACGTTCATTAGACAATGAATCTAAGAGAGAGAAAAAATAAGGAAGTGTGAGTAGTAGAAGATACATTTAAGTTAGATAGTTCTTCCATCTTCTTCTCCACATTAATAAGACGGTGTTCAAAGTCTTTATGTAAATTTGCCAGCTATTCAAATTTAGTAGCTAAACCGACGAGTTTAGTCGAAATAGTGTCAAATTTCTCCTCCAAAAAAAGAAAATAAATTTTGAGGTACATTAGTAGACAAAGCTAATACAAAAAAAAAGATTCGAGCCGTTGGGATTTTAAAGCTGGTTCACTAGGATATCTTTGACGTTTACCAACAGAGGATATGGACGACTTTGGGGGAAGGAGGAGTGCGTGACATCGGGTCAGGATTAGATTCAATGCCACTGATTAGTAATAAAACATAACATATAAATATATATATTTTTATTTATGTTAAACATAAAAATAAATATGTCAAAGTTTTTAGTAAAACTGAAGTAAAGATACATACAAAAATTGACACAAATCGTGTCCAAAGCATTAGAGTTCATTATTGACAAGCTCACTCAAAAACTCACCAATACTGACAAACATCACAAGTGCCCATCTCTCCTGTATCTCATTAATTTTAATTTTTAATAAAAAGTAAAAATACATTACAAATGGATACGAGTCCATTTTTCACTACTTGCCATGTCCAATTACTGGGAACAACTATTTCCATCACAGAGACAACCTTTCTTTAGAGGCTATGCCTCTGCACAAATGTGCAATGTGTAATTCTGCCAGCCCTTTTTACAAAAAAATTTTAATTTTATTTATTAATAGAAATAAATAGTGATGAACATACAAATTATTTCCCAGAAAATTTAATTCCAAAAATGGCTTAAGGAACTTAGCAGGATATAGTGATAATATTTAACTTTAAATTACTATTTCTTGGCCCAATATTGTAAATGTAGAAATTTACACTGCTTTTACAGGTAGCCAAGTGTTTTATTATAGCCTTTTCAGTGTTTTTTTGGCCAGTTTCAATTACAGAAATTCTTGTAATGGAATATTATAGAATTGAACGGCAGCTTAAATTTAAATTAATACATAAATATAAATATTAAAGTACTATTTAAAATTAATGTAAATAAAACTTAATTACAAACATTTAAACTAAACAATTAGACAGGTAAAGTAAAATATCATTGAATAACTTTTGATCAATCTTTGATCAAATTCATAGGTATTGTCACTCCCTAACATAATAATAATGTAATCTTTCATAATAATAATGTAATCTTTCTAATAATGTAATCTTTGAAAAATCATGAGAACATTGCAGTACACTTTGTTATTAAACATGGGAATGAGCTGTGAACAACTGGTTGATCTGTTGAACTACTTTAAAAGTTAAAGTACAGGTATGTTTTTTTTTGTGTTATGTTGAACATTAACTTGTGATTAGTCATGCTGGCAGAAAATACTCACTCTTGAAAAACTGAAGAAGAAAAAAAAAACGAGTTTCCCACATTTTGAGTTGATACCTTTGCTAGTCTTAATTTTTTACTGCTTTAGTGAATGTTGAAATCATGAGCACATAAAAGTTTAAAAAAAATCATGAAAAAACACATCTTTTTGATTGTTTTTGTTTTTTACTTAAGCAGGAATTCCTTATTACATGGACATTCATGTTAGTTTTTCTCATTTATTTGTCATTTAAGTCATTAACAGTTGCCATAATTAGATATAAGTAACCTTCCATTAAGCATTAATAAATTATTTTTATTAAATTATTTGACTAAATAATTATTGCAACTACCTAGTCAGGTAGTTGCAATAATACGAGGAGAAGTTGAAAAGTCTTTGCCAACTGTGTTTTTCTCTAAATTTGACTGTTATTTCAGAATTTCAAAATATAGTTATACATTTGAAAGTCTAGTTCATGCCCTACTTTTCTATGTAATTTCCAAGGCAGGCTAAACACTTCTTCCATTATAGTTCAAGTTTTTGGATACTCTCGTAGAATATGTCATGCAGTTCAGTTGTGGTGCTTAGCAGTTTCAATTGCGTTGCTGCATATCTTCACATCGTTGTCACTTTCAAAGTGATGACCTGCTAACCCGTCCTTGAGGAGGTCAAAATGATGACGACAAGATGCCAGATTCACACTGTGTAGCAGATAACAAAAATGGGACTGATTTCCAGATCAGATCATTTTGTTATCTGCAACAATCATTTGTTTCTGGATGATTGTTGTTCCATTTCTGAACTTATCAACCATCAATTTGCATCTTGCCAAAGTAGACAGTTGTTTCATACTACAAGCACTCATTTCTTGATAAATTTTACTAGTATTCTTGCCAGATTCTCACAAAAATTAAATCACACTTCTGTGTTCCTTCAGCATGGAAATTGACAAAACACTTCCATTTTCAAATGTCCATATTTATTTCACATCTCACCAGACAGCATTGGAAAGTCCCTCTCATATGTATAGTTTAAAATTTTGGAATTGTAATTATTTATCAAGAAAAAGTGCCGTTGGCAAAGACTTTTTTCAATTTCCCCTCATGTATTCTTTTAAAACTGTGAAAACTTTTGATNTTTCCCCTCATACATTCTTTTAAAATTGTGAAAACTTTTGATGTGTAATATCTTTTCTATGATACTAGCTGATATAAAAACTTAAAATATAAATTTCTAATTTAAAAATTTGTTGTTTTTATTATTTTTAATTCATCTCTTGACAAGCCTTGAATGGCTTGTGTGTATTATTGCAAATCAGATGAGAACAACTGTCCTAGATTACACAATTAATGTTGCAAGTGAACAAGTGTAAATCAGTAGATCGTGGGCGTCATTCTCTGTTCCCATTTCCTGTCAGTGACCACAACAGCCACAATTGAGGCCACTCGGTAGTGTATCAACAAATCTGAAAATCAATTTAGTTTAACAAAGAATTAATAATTTACAGACTAACAGTTCTCAAATAAAGTTTTTACTTTATGGTAATCATAAACCCAACATCTTATATTTAAAAAAATAAAATTTTGTATTCGTTTATATAATTTATTTTTTAAATATTAAACTATTTTATACCGTTATTTTAATAGAAAAGAAAGCTGAGCCCGAAAGAATCCCGGTGGCAGCTTCTTAAATTGCATGGCTTGGGAATCCGATTCAAACACCACTGGTAAAACTAACCGAAACGATTTACTATTTTCGTGTAATTGATTTTGTTAATTTTGTATATAATTATGTGTTTGTTTATGGGGGGAAAAAACGAATTTAAAAAGATCTTGCAGATTATTTGGAATAAAAAGTAATTGAGAATTTATGTGATTTTTAAGGGAGGCTTTTTTTGTCGTCCGTTCCGTTCGCACGAATGCCATAATTTATCAAGAAACACGTATTCGTCGAATTTGGGCTTTTCGATTGCGGCGTGCTTAGAAAAATATGCATATCTGACCCGTGTCCAAATTATTTTTAATAATAAAATTAAATTGTATTTTGCATATATATAAAATGCATTGAAAAATTAATTTTGCTACCTACAGTTAAGCTTTGAAAATTGAGTATCTATTATTATATTAAATAAAAACAGTCGAAACTTAAAATGAGCAATTAAAAATTTATCTTTATTTAATTATTAATTATAGTATCTTATTTCATAATTTTATTTAAACTATTTAACTAACTGTCAACATAATTATTTTAATTATTATCATAAATTTTTATATTGGATTTATATTTCACTCATTGAAGAATTACAAACAGAAACCATTTTAAAATTTCCATTAGTTTATAAAAAGAAAAATTGTATATAAATAAGTAAATTTAAATTTATGGTTGTATCATAAATTTGTTTTAATAAATGGATTTTGTTTTGATAATTTGTGTCAGTTCTAAATAAACAATTCACTTTTCATTTAAATAATTCATGTTATAGCATAATAAATTGGATAAAATTGTCACGATGACATGAAAATAAACAAAAGAACAGTTTTATCACTAATATAATTACTATAAATTTCTAAATATTTTACAAATTTTGAATTTATTATACCAACATTGAAATTACAATGATCTTTCATTCTTGAAATTAAGATTAACAAATTCATCTTCCTGTTACTTTAATCTTAATAAACATAATCTTGCGAGAGTGAACAGAAATAGATATTGGAAACGTTTGTTGTTTTTTTTAAATTTGCCATCTTTTTGTAAGACATTAATTGGACTAATAAATAAAGCTACAATACTATAGGCAATAATGCTTATACCCATATGCAGACTTCTTAAATTTCAAGCCAATTTGTTTGAGGATATATAAGATTTAAATGAAGAATTTTGTCTTTAAGTAAATTAATTAAAAATATATATATAAAACTAATTTATAATAACAGCAATTACTGTATCGGTACATATGTAATTTGCAATGGTGTATGCCCCTTCAGAAAATTGTTAAAACAAATAAAACTTTCATACAATTTACTCCTCCATATATATCGCACCTCTGGAGCAGCCATTTAAAGCATGGCATTTATTGCATTTTAAGTAGTTTATGAGATGTTATCTCGATTATTAAAACATTAAAACTACTACTTTACCATAAGCTACTACTATGACAGTCTGTCGTAGTAGTAGCTTATCATTTGAAGATAAAAATTGAAAAGATGCATATCAAACAATAAATTCTTTGTTATATTGTTTAATTTCTGTTTTATTAATATAATAATAGTTTATTTTAGCAACTATTAAGAAAAAGTAAATAGAAAATAATCTAAACATCCATAATATTCAATGACACTAAGCAAAGAGGTTTTAATATATTAATTTTTTACCATCCAAACGTCCTCGTTTGCTAATCGACGAGTTATGTCCGGACGGCAAATAAAATTTGACGTAAAGTATTTTCCACGAATTATCATTTGATGAACTGGAGAAATTTTGTTTAGACCCTATACCTACGTGGCTAGGTAAGTTGATCATTGAATGATAAATGTTATGTTTATGTGTATACGGTAAGTCCTCAGTTAACATCATTGATAAGTATTTGGAAGCTACAACATTAAGTGAAATGACTTATAACAAAACCAATTTTAGCATAGGCTAATTGATATAAACTAAATATAATTTGGTTATTATAGTTCTGATTAGATTGTGTGCAACCTTCACTTCAAAATTCATTTTTATTGTTTATAAAGAAAATTCAACAATGGTTATGAATGTATCTTTCCTTGACGATAATAAAACAAAGTGACATTAATTGAGGACTTGCCGTATACGTATATATCCAGTTATCTAAATTAAGAGCTGACATTTTTGACCTGCCTATAAATCCTGATATACAATCATTGCTTATAAATCCCTTTATAAGCAATGCTTTATATCAGGGATGCATTTTATGTAATTTTATAGCTAAAAATTTCCTGTACGAATGAAGGTTCTAAAATTCATGAATTGTCAAGACAAAATAGATACATATCTTCAAACATTTAAGTCATATTTAGTGTATTGTTTTGAATTGTTTGTTATAAAAAATGCAATAAATTTAATTGATAACTGTTGATCCACATCAATCAATATTTTAAAAGAATTTTATGACCAAACTGTCATTCAATTATTGTTTATAAGATTATTGCTTCTATTATTCAGTCATTCATGATTATGAATGGTGAAACAATTTATAATTATTTATGATGAATATTTTTCAGACTTGAAGTATGCAGTCGTATTATGGCAATTTTTCATAGAGGAAGTAGTTCAAGAAGGATTAACCAATCCTACTCCAGCTTGTTGTAATCCAAAAAAAAAGAGGTAAAATCAATTTGTTACAAATTAACTACAGTTTAAAGCATTTAATGTGTAAATGTATATTTGATTTTTATAATTAGGTTGAAAATATTCCAATAAGTTTTTATTTAAAATTCATTTAATAATCTTGGGGAATAAAAATCAATAAATTTATTGTAATGAATAAATAAAACTCAATCACTTTAAAATATAAAGGATCTTCTCAAACTTTTATGAGGAATACGGTGAAACCTTGCCAAGTCGAACTGCATTAACACAAATCCATCTATAGGTTCCAGACACCATATATAGGGTTTTCCATATTATGTGGTCTTGTTAAGACAAAATTGTCAGTACTTTTAACCCCAATCTATTTTCCTATCTACTATCCACCGTTTGATAGATCTGCGATCCTTGTTTTCTCTTGCATTTCGTGTTAATACCAACATGTAAGATAAACGGTGTGAAAACGAAAACAACTGCACACCATTACGACTTGGTGTCAACATCCTTTTATAGATAAAGTATGTTATGGGCATTCTGATTGGGACATAAGAATGTGCCTTGATGACTTGATGGTGTTATTAATCTTGTACAATTCTGTATCATTCTGTGAATGGATTGTTGAGAATAGGAAATTTGATAAAATCTGGTATTAAAGTCTTTAACTTGAAGAGTTTTCTTTAATCCCTTAAATTTGACTTAAATAGTTTTTATTATATATTTTCAAAATTGTAAATGATTACAATGATCATTTCAATAAAAATTAATGTATTTTTATTTTCTTTTTAGAGTTTTATTGAAGAGGCCAGAATTTTTGCTATAATTCGTAAGAAAATAATTAAAAGCAAAGAGACTTAAACTGCTTCAAAAATGAATTATGTTGTGGGAGAATAAGGCATTTAAATGATGAAAGTATTTTATCTTCTCAAGAATATTATTATTTACAGTATATTACAGGCCAGAAGGAAAGATGACAGCATGCAAAAGAATGGATGTGTGGTCAAACGGTATCATTTTAAATCTGTGACTATCAAACCTAAGCCAAAAGGTACTTGGTATTAGTGTAGTAACTATCAAAAATCTTAAATTATAATTTACATATATTTATTATAAAAACAAGTTAAATAAATTTAATGTTTAAAAAATTAGTCTATACACAGATAAGGAACAGGTGTACAGGCTCTCTGTTGAAAGTATTATTACAAATACTTTATTGTAATAAGAAAAATCTTGTTACAGGGGGTTAACATTAGAGAATTACAAAAATACAATTATTACTTATTAAAACATTTTTTTTAAATATCTTGTTACATAAAATTTGCTAAACATAACATATTAGTCATTCAATCTACATATCATATTTCAAAATTCATTAAAATGAACAAAAAAGTTATGAATATTATACATCTTACATAATGAAATTTTTTCTAGGTTGGTTCTGAAATTTTCTTCTTAATTTAAATCAAAAATCTCTTTTAATTTAAATTTACATTGCGCTTCTTCAATCTTTGGACATTCAGTGAGAATATAATAAATGTTTTATAAAAATGGTTATAAAAATCAAGTAGAACTTGCCTATCCGCTGGCATAAGAAGATTAATAAATTTAGTGGTAATTATATCCATTCCAGGAGCTGTTTTCATTTTTAATATACGAATTGATAAATCCTGTTCTTCAGTAGATATTGGAATATCTAACTTTTTCAGTTATCAGATACTTCGGCATAATATAATTAATATGATACGAATCTTTCAATCCAAAGTAAGAACTAGCAGGAAAATGGTCCGATAAGTCACAATTTAGTACATGAATTTCCGAACATAAATCTACTAAAAATTCTAAACATATAAACAGATCGATTGTAGAACTTCCCAAAGTAAATACACAAGTGAATGCAGAAGAATAGACTTTTTCAATTCTGCTATTAAGAATATATAGTTGAGCTTGAATCGTTAATTTTAAAAGGTTATGACCCATTTAATTCTGTTTAACATAACTTAAGACCTTGGGAGTTCCAATTAATTATTACAAAATAAGAGACTTTTTGATTAGACGTAGTATCGTATAAACTTTCATTATTATTATGTGCAGCAGGCAAGGGACTGAATAGTTGAGTCTCCACAAAACGTAAGTCTTGAATAGGAGTATTTAAATTGATCGAATGTCATTGCGGAGTGTTCTCAGAAATAGAATACGGGGTAAAAGAATCCAAGTATACCAGCCCCTCCAACACATAGCTATACGTCAAAGAATAATTGCCCAACAGAATAGTATCACCTCGGAGTTTTGGATATTTACCTGCTTTCCTAAACTTGCTTAAAAAAGGAATTAATTGTTTACGTCTTAATCTAGATCTTTTNCTAAATTCAATTTTATTGTTTATAAAGAAAATTCAACAATGGTTATGAATGTATCTTTCCTTGACGATAATAAAACAAAGTGACATTAATTGAGGACTTGCCGTATACGTATATATCCAGTTATGTAAATTAAGAGCTGACATTTTTGACCTGCATATAAATCCTGATATACAATCATTGCTTATAAATCCCTTTATAAGCAATGCTTTATATCAGGGATGCATTTTATGTAATTTTATAGCTAAAAATTTCCCGTATGAATGAAGGTTCTAAAATTCATGAATTGTCAAGACAAAATAGATACATATCTTCAAACATTTAAGTCATATTTAGTGTATTGTTTTGAATTGTTTGTTATAAAAAATGCAATAAATTTAATTGATAACTGTTGATCCACATCAATCAATATTTTAAAAGAATTTTATGACCAAACTGTCATTCAATTATTGTTTATAAGATTATTGCTTCTATTATTCAGTCATTCATGATTATGAATGGTGAAACAATTTATAATTATTTATGATGAATATTTTTCAGACTTGAAGTATGCAGTCGTATTATGGCAATTTTTCATAGAGGAAGTAGTTCAAGAAGGATTAACCAATCCTACTCCAGCTTGTTGTAATCCAAAAAAAAAGAGGTAAAATCAATTTGTTACAAATTAACTACAGTTTAAAGCATTTAATATGTAAATGTAGATTTGATTTTTACAATTAGGTTGAAAATATTCCAATAAGTTTTTATTTAAAATTCATTTAATAATCTTGGGGAATAAAAATCAATAAATTTATTGTAATGAATAAATAAAACTCAATCACTTTAAAATATAAAGGATCTTCTCAAACTTTTATGAGGAATACGGTGAAACCTTGCTAAGTCAAACTGCATTAACACGAATCTATCTATAGGTCACAGACATCATATATAGGGTTTTCCATACTATGTGGTCTTGTTAAGACAAAATTGTCAGTACTTTTAACCCCAATCTATTTTCCTATCTACTATCCACCGTTTGATAGATCTGCGATCCTTGTTTTCTCTTGCATTTCATGTGAATACCAACAAGTAAGATAAACGGTGTGAAAACGAAAACAACGGCATACCATTACGACTTGGTGTCAACATCCTTTTATAGATAAAGTATGTTATGGGCATTCTGATTGGGACATAAGAATGTGCCTTGATGAATTGATGGTGTTATTAATCTTGTACAATTCTGTATCATTCTGTGAATGGATTGTTGAGAATAGGAAATTTGATAAAATCTGGTATTAAAGTCTTTAACTTGAAGAGTTTTCTTTAATCCCTTAAATTTGACTTAAATAGTTTTTATTATATATTTTCAAAATTGTAAATGATTACAATGATCATTTCAATAAAAATTAATGTATTTTTATTTTCTTTTTAGAGTTTTATTGAAGAGGCCAGAATTTTTGCTATAATTCGTAAGAAAATAATTAAAAGCAAAGAGACTTAAACTGCTTCAAAAATGAATTATGTTGTGGGAGAATAAGGCATTTAAATGATGAAAGTATTTTATCTTCTCAAGAATATTATTATTTACAGTATATTACAGGCCAGAAGGAAAGATGACAGCATGCAAAAGAATGGATGTGTGGTCAAACGGTATCATTTTAAATCTGTGACTATCAAACCTAAGCCAAAAGGTACTTGGTATTAGTGTAGTAACTATCAAAAATCTTAAATTATAATTTACATATATTTATTATAAAAACAAGTTAAATAAATTTAATGTTTAAAAAATTAGTCTATACACAGATAAGGAACAGGTGTACAGGCTCTCTGTTGAAAGAATTATTGGGCAAATCTTAACCAAATTTATTACACACACCATCCTGAGTATGTAGTTCTGATTTCCAGGAAAAAATTTTATTAAAAAATTCGACCACTAGAGCAAACTTTGCCATTGCCAATTGCTTAATGTGCTATTATCTACATTTTCTCATATATTTTGGGAGTTAGGAAATAAGTATGATAATTTTATTTCAATTACAGTTGTGGAATGTGCAATTGACAATTACATTAAAAATATGGCTCTAGATCCTCCATCTCCATGCTCTAAAACTGCATTCACTGCACAACATACTTGACAACTGACCTGCTTGGAATTATTGCATATTGTGAAATTCTGTCTTTTAAGACAGTTAGGTTGGGAACATTGCCTTCAAATGAGGCTCTGGGTAGCCTTTATGGCTATTCATAGCCTCATTTATCAAGGCAGGATTACCTGCCTTTACAGCTAGATGCCATAAAGGCAGATAATCCCATTCCACCAGTTGCCAAAATAGTCATGGTGCTCTCCTTTGCATTCTTTTTTAGCCCTAAAAGTAGCAGTGCTCTGAGGAGAGCCAGTAGCTCCTGCATTTTTATCTGGTAAAACCCTAGTGTAAAATTTGTAGTTATTTTGTTACTCTGGACAGTTTTCAATTGATCCGATCACAATTATCGGTAGCAGTGGTATACAATAGAAGATATTCTCGAGCAATGTATATCTGCTAATAAATGAATCCATTCAAGTAAAAAGAGCATACAATAGTAAGAAAGTAATGAGTTGTATAAGTAATTACTACCAATTATTAGAATAAAACAAGTAAGAAAACAATATAAAATCCAATTTTAAACTTACAAAATTTAAGAAAATTCTTAAAGTAGACAATACATAAAAGTGTCTCCTTGCTTTGTCCTTTTGCATGTGCGTGAGGAAATTAATATTTCCACGATGGAGTCGACCTTTCATTCNAAGGCAGGATTACCTGCCTTTACAGCTAGATGCCATAAAGGCAGATAATCCCATTCCACCAGTTGCCAAAATAGTCATGGTGCTCTCCTTTGCATTCTTTTTTAGCCCTAAAAGTAGCAGTGCTCTGAGGAGAGCCAGTAGCTCCTGCATTTTTATCTGGTAAAACCCTAGTGTAAAATTTGTAGTTATTTTGTTACTCTGGACAGTTTTCAATTGATCCGATCACAATTATCGGTAGCAGTGGTATACAATAGAAGATATTCTTGAGCAATGTATATCTGCTAATAAATGAATCCATTCAAGTAAAAAGAGCATACAATAGTAAGAAAGTAATGAGTTGTATAAGTAATTACTACCAATTATTAGAATAAAACAAGTAAGAAAACAATATAAAATCCAATTTTAAACTTACAAAATTTAAGAAAATTCTTAAAGTAGACAATACATAAAAGTGTCTCCTTGCTTTGTCCTTTTGCATGTGCGTGAGGAAATTAATATTTCCACGATGGAGTCGACCTTTCATTCAAGGCTACTCATCCGCCTTAATATGTGACAAAGTGACACATATCGAGGCAAAGGACAAAGTGAGAAGACACTTTTATGTATTGTCTACTCAAAGAATTTTTTAAAATTTTATTTGTTCTGGCAATTTTTATCAAATATAAAATCCAATGTAGTGGGATGCGATAAATTCCAGGTGCTTTAGCATCCTCAGTTTCATCCTTCGCGCTAGATAAAAGGCAGAACACGGTGGGTTTCCTTTTGTACACTATGCGCATGTTTAAATCCTTGGCCATACCTTGTGTATTAGGGTTGCCTCCTCCCACACAGGATAAATTCCTGGCTCAATGGCATACCGGGCTAGGGCCATATCAATGTAAGCTTTAGATATAAAATCCAATTTATATACTTTGCAATACTGAAGATACCATGGGGTCTGTATGACTGCTTTATTGGCTTGTTATTTTTGTTTTTGTACGTTTGCAGTGTCAGGTTTCGTCCACTAGTACATTATTTTCTTTTGCCATATTAAAATAAGTGAAAAACTTGGAATATTAATTAACCATTTTCATATTATAGTACTTTGCAAAGTGTCTGGGGTAAAAATGACTCCCAGACCAAATTATTATACCAAATTCTCTGTAAGCTTGTTATAGATGTGATAAAACATTGTAAGTGGTGTTATTCCAGTAAAAAGTTTTGTTATATAATCATTGCTTAAAATATCGTGTGAATTTAGTATAGATATGTAAATTCAAAGTGAAAACCTACATTCTAAATTATGGATTTTTGTTTTTTAGCATTTTGTTTTGTAACTCTGACTGGAATTTATCAAGATCGGTTTGGGTTCTATCACTAGTTATACTTTGAGTGGAATTGCGTTATCGTCCGAAGGATCGAGCCAAAAAAGTAAGTAAAAATTAATATAATTCTTACTGTTAATAAAGGAGTTTTCATTTGATTACATCTGCATTGCCAATTATAATGTTTAAATCTGTTTGAGGTGCTCCAGAGTTTACTTACAAAAATTTAAAAAGTTTATTCGATTTTGTAATATATATATTAAATCCAGTATTGAGACGTACCAGTTATTTATTACTATGCTTGTGACATTTTATAACTAGATGATTTGCAAGTTTTTGTGTTCATTCTGCTTTTGTAATAAGAGCTAAGTTATGAAAATAATATTTAAGGTGACACACAAACTATAGTAATATTATCTACATCTTAACGGGGGACTAATCTTGAAAGCCAATAGATTTCTGAAATTTATCTACTTTCAAACAGATTTTTTGGTTTTTAACTACAGTTTAAAATAAGCCGTGCATACAGGTTATATGTATTTCTGTATTTGAAAGAGGTAATCATATTTTAATTATGTTTTGGTACTAAATGGTAGTTAATTTAGGAAGCCATAATGTACTTCTTGAACTATTTCTTTATGCAATTAAATGGTACAATTGTTGATTGAGCCATATCTACTTTAAAAGGGTTGTAGGCTTTGTGTTCCAGAGTGCTAAGTTTTACAAGATCAAGAAAATTTTATATTTTGGTCATTTTTTATGATTTATTTGAACATACATAATAAACAATGTTTCATTCTAACTTTATCCACAATAGTAGTAGTAAANTGTGAAATTACTAAACAATTCCTTATTGAATCTTGAACAATAGTTTTTTTTAAAAATATATATATATATATACATGCATACATATTAAAAACAAATAATTTGTTATGCAAAAATACAAATTAAAATCTGTTGATAATTAGAAGTAAACTATAAAATTATGGAAGTTGATTTTTGTCTAATAAAAACTTTTCATTATTTAGAGAATTAAATTTATAAAGGCGTAATCAGTGTGGTTAAATCTTCTAATTCTTCTCTTTTGGAGTGCATAAATGCGGTCACCTCCCACAGCATTCTCACCAGAACCTTCGTATCGGTCTCGTCCAGCGCTATGTTTTCCGAGAGGGGAGGGTTGAGGCGAAAGTATGGGACGCGGATCATGCTGCACCACGCCTGGGCTCTGTCCACCACTCGGCCGTCGGATTGCGTTGCCTAATAAAACGTAAAACATAATTTAGTGATAATAGATGAACATGTACATTAAATTATATTTATTCAAATCATTATTTTCTTTTCATTTCAACTGCATAAATAGATATGGTCTTCTAATTTAGAACTCTGACATGACTACCAAAACTTGAATTTTTGTGGATGATCCCATCCAGATACTTTGGGCAAGTGATTAGAGAGTACAAGCATAAGAAGTCTTATGTATACACTGACACTCAAAACCAGCAAATAAACTTCAACACTTTACAACTGTCAAATATGGAATGGAACCAAAAAGCTTAAGTTTAAAAATGAATAGCATTCCAATAAAATCTTTCCAGCAGAAACTGGCACAAACATAGTACATTACTCCCCAATATATGGAAATAAACATGGATAACCAATAGATTCATAAACTAGCATAACTCCTTCACATCACATGTGTAAAAAATCTGTTTCCCTATAGTTGGTTGCTGTGTGTTTCTTGACAGCCTTGTAGACATTCCAAATACTTCAAAAAAGCTGACTCAGAAGTGCAGCCATATTTGCATTTCTTCATCCTCACCACGAGGGTAAACTGTACTTGTGAGTACTTAGGGCTCTCTCAGTTGTTCCTATGTACTTGCAAGTACAGTTTACCCTACTATCCTGCATGGGTTGGTGTAAATGCCCAATAAATAGGATTCATCTGTAGATCCTTGTTGTTTGTTACCATGGGCTTTTTAGCCCATATACAATTTTGAGGTTAGCAAACTTTGCTCATCTTGATATAATCTACAATAAGATTCTTTCAATGTGTGGTTGTTGGAGAAACAAAGTTATTGTGTAACTTATCTCCCATCTCAAGATGAGTGTTCAACAACTTATCAGAGAATGGAAGGCAGCCACTTTGTTCATCCCAACATAATCCATTGTAAATACAGGGATCATAGGTAATTTTGCAATCTCGTTTAAGCCCCTTAGATCCAGTCTGTGCCACCAGAGTTGCAATGATAATGCATTTGGCCTCTCCCTATGGTTGAATAGAAAAGATGGAGAGCAATATATAACTGATACACATCTGACGTGAGGGTGCTATGCTAATTATTTATGTTTGTTTCCATATCTTGAAGTACAATGTAGTATGCTTGTGTCAGTTGTAACCTGAAGATGTCTATCTGAAAACAGAGAAAACTGCTATTAACTACAAATATAAGGGTTAAGAACTCTTATGCCTTTTGACTACAACTGTATCTTATTAGTCAACTTCTGTTTGAATATAATAGCATCAAACATAAATTGGGAATTGTATATATTTGATCTATTATTTCTGCCTTCATCTAGAAATTATATGTTAACTTTTGGTTCCAGATTGTAAATACTAACACTTCTCAAATCTTGTGTTGGTGGAATTAATTTAGAAAGAGTTAAAATATATCTCAAATTTTATCACTTACCTTTAAGAAAACAAGAATCAAAAACAATAAGCATTTTAAAGCCAAACTATTGCCAGATTATATCACCTAATATTTATTAATTAATTCAGAAAAGTCTGCCTGGAGTGGAACTTGAACCTGCAACCTCTGCTTCAGGCCAAGTTTTTTTCTTCTGAATCAATTTGTAAATAATAATTTAATACGAGATGGTGTCAAATACTTAGCATTTAATTATTAATAGTAGCCAGATCTAATCCAGCAATCATTTGACTTTTATATATATAAATGTCAGTAAACTCAATATCATTTTAAAAACAATAAGCTTTCACAAATTATTGCCTATTTAGATTTCTCTTGGTCAGTGCATGTTCTTCCAAAGTTATGACATACACTGCATACAAATAAAATTAGTATTTTATGAAGTAATGTTACAATGGAGTCAATCCCATATCAAAACATATCCATTGGAGCTTGAAAAAAAAAACAGCCCTCATATAATTGTACAATGGTCCATATAACAAAATGAATTTATTACAAACATGGTTACTTTTCAACATAATCACTGTGAAGATTGAGGAATTTGTCATATCTGTGGACGAGCTTTTCCATCTCCTTGTCATAGAATGTTGCTGCCAGTGAATTGAGATGACCTTAACAACGTTGTTTTGAAGATCATCATTAGTTCGTATGTCTCAAACCTCTGCCCTGCTAGCCATGTTTTCAATTCAGGAGTCTTCACACATTTAAAAAGCTTTAAGCTGGGTGGAAGTCTTCACCACCTTTAAACATCCAGCGTATAGCCCCGATTTAGCGCCGAGCGACTTCCACCTCTTTCCCAAACAGGAAAAGTGGCTAGCAGGGCAGAGGTTTGAGACTTATGACGATCTTAAAAAACCGTTAGGGCCCATCTCGAGTCATTGGCAGCAACATTCTACGACAAGGGGATGGAAAATCTCTTCCATAGATACGATAAATGCCTCAATCTTCACAGTGATTATGTCGAAAAGTAACCATGTTTGTACCTAACTTTTGGTAATAAATTCATTTTGTTATTTACACTTGTCTTTTTATACAGACCATCGGAGCTTGAAAAAAAAACAGCCTACGTATTATTTCAGATGATTACATAGCAATGCTATTTGTTCATTTTACTTCTTATTAATATAATAATCATGTTATATTTTCATCAAAAATGGTTAACATGTTTTTAGCATCAATAAATCATCCTATATGTCATTTCATTAAACAAAATTTGAATATCTGAAAATGGTGTAATAATGCTCAAAAATACAGATTTCACTACGTAAAATATGCATCTGTATGTCAAAAAAGTTTCTCATTTTTTACTCTTACCTACACACAAATTTATGACAGATGTAATAAGAATTATTACATCTTACAAGGTATCCCTTATTAAATTGTTTTCTTTTATGTCTTTACAGTTGTTAGACAAATGAAGAGAGTAATTTTAAGAATCTGCCTTTGAACTATAAGAAAAGAAACTTATGGAATGATCAAACTACATTATTTTCTCCGTCTATTTGGTAGAAACTATACAGATCCAGAATTGAATCTCAAAAAGTGACAACAAGCAGCTGGTTTGAGACAATACAGTGTCGTCATTGCATACGACAGTATAATCTTTCCTGTGCCATAAATATTACTGCTTCATTCTTCAATTAAAAGATTCGTTCCATTAAATAAAGAAAGAACTCACCTGATCGACCAACAGTTGTCCAAGCGCCGAGGCACCCATGGCCATCCTCGCCACTCCCCAAAACGTGTCGGGTCGGAAGACGTCGATGGTGTTTACGGGCACAACCGGTAACTTTCCCGTTCCCAGGGAAACCACCACTTCTATTCTGTATTTATCACCCTGAAATTTATATTAATTTTGTAATTTGAGACAGTTATAAGAACATTTTTAGCATCTGTTATGGTAGTTTTAATTCTATAGTTTTTTCTTCTAAAAATTGATAGTAAACTTTAAATGTATGTCATTGTAAAGATACGGTAACATGAAAAATGTAAGCCTAAAATTTTTTAATAATAAACATATAGAAATTCAAAAATGAATAATCTTTTATAAGAAAGAGTAATGCTACTTATATTAATATATTAAGCAGCAAAATCTAATTTTCTATGTATAAAAACAGTATGTGTCTTCTTACAGAAATATCAATAAAGCTAAATTTCTTTTAATTTTCTACTGCACAAATATACAAGAATTTCCTGTCACAAGTCATTAAGACCCTTTCTTCATAAATTACAGTGAACTTCCTCAGATGTCCAGTGACTTGTGAAACATTACTATAGAGATTTTATAGTGGAAGCAAAATTATCAAGTTTCCAGGTTTTTTCTTGCAAAGAGAAATCCCAGGCTTTCCGAGTGAGTAGACAACCTGTTCCATCTTATCACCTTGGCCATTCAAATTGGAATGCAGATCAGAACAGCCAAGGTAATAAGATTTTTTCACAAAACTTTACAAAGTAACAATCTAGAGATGGAGCGTAGGAATCACAAAAATTTTTTACCAGTAATTACTTATTGCCTCCTACAAAATGAATTAGATATAGTTTTTGCTTTTATAAACTAAAAATGTGGAATTGATATGTATGTCAGTCTTTAGAACTTTAGAGCAGCTTTAGTAGAGGAAACCCTACGTAAAAGTTCAGACAAATGGAAAGAAGCTTCACTAATAACAGTATCAATTCTTTTTTCATTCTAAATGGTAATGAAATGATCTTTGGATATTTTGCTAAGCAAGAAGTAGCCATACATTTATTGCTGGCCATGACTATTATTTTATTACATGCATTGTTATTATTTCAATAAATGGCTATATAACTGATTTGTTTAAAATGTCTTCCAGGAATATGCTATAATGTAATTTAAATTTAACTTATTCTTTGTTTTTGTTCAATTTTGTAATGACAATCTGAAGATAGAAGTCATAAAGAAATCAAAAGTTCATTGAAGTGTTTTGGAATGTTTGAATGCCACCCACTATCCAATTTATGTATTTTTGTTAAAAATAATAATAATAATTTGAATTGAGAGTATATTGATTTCTGCTAATTTTAAATTGAATTTAAATTGATGAGAGTTTTTCAAAAGAAAACCAATTTGCATAATAATGGAAACATTTTAAATTGCAATTGTTTTTGATTAATTGAATTGATTAAAATCTTAAAACGTACTCACTGCAAATTCGTTACATTGATGAATTTCGGTCAGAGCGTCTAACGTGGGATTATTAGCTATAAGGCCACCGTCGATGAATCGTCCGGATGAACGGAAGTAGGTGGGTGCAGCACCCGTCGAACGCGCCGCCCTCCAGACCAACTGCTCTGTGAATTAATTTGTATGTGATTAGATAGAAATAAATTTAAAATAATTTAATTTAACATCTGATTAAATAAATTTTTTACCATCCGGAGTCGGAGGTGCTTTAAACTGACTCGACTGCTCGCAGGTCACAAAAGGCGGATCATAATTACGAAATATGTGAAGATCTGCAGGATGTCTGTCTGCCAACACGCCGGTAACCATGACTCTAATTATTTGATAAGGTTTAATATTTTGTAAATACTGGTCTTATAAATAATAATCTTATTAATTTATTGATTAAATGACAATAGGAAATACAAAAAAAATTAACAAATAATTACTTTGGATTAATTGTAAATGGTAAGTAATTATCTTTTTCTGAATTTTCAGCCAAGTAAGTTGTGATTTGGCTCCAAAGTCAAAAAAAGATAATTATGGGAAGGGTACTGTAATCTGATTTCTATACATATTTAATATTAAAATATAAATTAAATTTCAAATATATTACCATGTATCAAGATAAATAAAAAATAAAACTGTTTCAGAGGAAAATGCCAATAACATGAATTTATTTTAATGTATAGAAAAAATTAATATAAAACAATGAAGGATATTAATGGCCCAGATCATCATCCTACAATTCAATGCATCAAACTCAATTTCAAGAATTTCTAGACATAAGAAGAAACAGTTTTCTTTTAGATAAGGATTCACATACAAATCTTTTCTATCCTATCATTGTACTAGTTTCAAAAAATTGCCATTCTCATTAGTATAAATTGCAAATTCCATAATTTTGTCACTTATTTTACAATTGTCCTGAATCATTATATTATGCATGCGGGAAGTCAACAAAATCATCGCCGAGACGTCATATAGAAAGTGCATTTACTCACATACATTCGCAATAGTATTTACACGTCTTTGTACTAATTTTTAAAAATAAAATTCTTGGAACTAATGATACAAAATCTTTTAATTCTTGCCATAAAATTATAAAAATTTATCATCATATGATAAAAGTGTATCAACAAAATACAAATCATATTTTCCATTTAAACATTTAATAATTAATATTAAAGGAAAATCTACAATAACAAACTAATCATTCAGATTTAACATTTTGTGTGTTTGATCTTATAGTTCATTTAAATGAAATTATTTATTAAAATAATTTTGTTTTTAGTTATAACTACTTTTTTCTTTGACTACGAATAACCTGTGACCAAATGACCAAACTGGGGCTCATGAGCCACATGTGACTACTAGACTCCTTAACGTGGCTCCCAACTAAGTTATATATGTAAATAATATAAAATACAGTTTAGATAGAGAATGCAACTCTCATATTTCTGACAAGAAATATATAGCTCCTGTTGTGACAAGGTTGGCTAGCCCCGATAAACAATGTCAGAGGACACAGAAAAAGTTTTTAACAAAATTCTTTGGTTTTCATACTATTAATAGATTATTAAAATGACTGATAATAAAAATATTAATTAATATATATTGGTTAATAGTTTTATTCTTCTTCATTTGTTTTTACAGAAACTTTTTTGTAACTAGAAACTATAACACATAATTTGTTAGATGTAACAAATAAACAAAAAAAAGCAAACTCACCGAGGGTATTTGATTTCGGACATTCTTGTATTTTCGCCAAACTCGGACTGCAAAAATTTCTCGAGATTTTCCGAAATGTAAGGTCTGACTCCGACAAAAACTTTGTCTTTGAGCCGAAAATACAAGCATCGACACTCAGAAATGCTTTTACCTGTTAAAACAAAATTTGTTACGGTATAAATAATATGATTTATTTTCTTTTTTAATATATTTTTTATTCAAACAGAAATACTTCTATCATCAATTTCAAAAAGAGAAATTATATTAAAGTATTCAAGAAAAAGTTAAAACAATCTTTTGAACAAAGCCTTCTGTTATTTATTATTCAAATAACCAGACACTTTAAATTTATGACACATTTTTATAATTTTTATTTCATCTGTTAATAAAAGTCTTGAATCTGTACATAGTAAAAAATCACTGCAGTTAACATTCAAAATAATTAATATTCAACTCATGTCTTCCAACTGAATGCTAACTACAGAATTCAGGGGAGAAAGTCTTCTTGATATTGTGTAAGCCATCTATGCACACTGGCAGCAGATATGGTCCAGAAGATGTATGGGATATTTGAGAGGGTGTGTGAGTTTCCTTTGAAGATTGCAAAGTCTGCACCGAATATGGGTGTTACCAATTCAAACTTTTGTAACAGCACCATTTTGTTTGTACTCGCTTACATTCATGTACTCTTTGTTTCATTATTAAACATTTGTTCATTAATATGTTTTATTTGTTGTGCTATCTGTGATATAATTCCTTACATTACATAGCTTGTACCAACTCAGAATCATGTTTGAAAGTGGCTCCGTTTCATCCCCTCTTTATGCTGAAATTTTAGACCATCCTTCTGAATCACCCTGGCTACAAAACCAACAAATAAAGTTCTTCTATGAAATAATTTTAAGAAAATTGTCACATTACAATTAACAATCAGGTAATCAACTACTGCAGTTAATTTTGGTGTCGTAACATAGCATGCTTGTCCAGCCGTGGAGAATCCTTAGTACTGAACACTATTTATGAACACCTGTACTAACTCATACGAGGATGGATCAAAAGTTTCCGAAATGGCAATAAAAACAAAGCATAACTTGAAAATCATTTCTTTTGTTTTTACAATATTAACACTCCTGATTAGATGTTTCTCTAGCTTTTCAATTCCCTCCCAGGAGCAATTTTCTCCGAGGCCCCTAAAATAGCTGTTTATGGCTTCGATCACCTCTTCGTTGGACCAAAATCTCTTACTGGCTAGAAATGTTTTGAATTTTGGGAATAGGTAATAGTCTAAGGAAGTCAAATCTAGCAAATATGGTGGATGCAAAAGAATTTTGAACTTAATTTCTGCCAGTTTTTGCCAAATGGTTGTGTTTGAATGAGTGGGCGCATTATTATAGTGAAACGACTTTTTTTTTATCATTCCAGGACGTTTTTCCTGGCTCACTGCTTTGAGATTGTCTAAAAATGTTGCATAGTATTGGCCAGTGACAAGTTTTCCTTTTTTAAAATAGTCAATTAACAAAATTCCTTTGGCATCCAAAAAACCGATGCTATCACCTTGCCAGCCAAATGGTCTTTGCCTTCTTTGGATCCTGTTCACAATCTCCAATCCATTATTTTGATTGAATTTTTGTTTCCAGTGTGTAGTTGTGAATCCAAGTCTCGTCCATTGTCACAAATTGTCGTTTGAAATCCGTTGGATTTTTCTTAAATAATTTCAAACTGTTGGCCACAATTTGGGCTTGAATGCATTTTTGCTCCAGACTAAGCAAATGCAGCACCCATCTTGCAGACAACTTCTTTAAAACTAATTCATTATTTATGAAAAATATGAACTACCTGTCTATAGGAGATGCCCATAGCATTCTCAATTTCATGCACTTTGATCTGGTGATTATTTAAAACATTGTCATGGATTTTATCCCCAATTTCACAGTAGTGGCAGTTTTTGAATGTCCCGAATGTGGTTCTTGAGCATGTGCAGCCACGCTTGAATTCCAAAACCCAAAGCTTACCACAGAAAAAGGAGGTGATGAATTGCCAAGAACAATGTCCAACCTGGATTTGATTTCCTTTGAGGTTTTCCCTCCAAATGGAAAACTTTGATAATAGCTCAAATTTTATTTTCCTCCATTTACAAACAGGCATACAGGGTATCTCATTTCAATTCTTGTAGAAACCTAATTATTGGCCAGATTGATGTGAAATTTGGAGTTAATACATACAAAAGATTTGTTAATGCAGTGCAGGAAAAATATTTCCAAACAAAACACCACCAGTGGCGATTCTGCAAACTTTTCAGCTGTGTTTTACTTATATACAAGAAATATATGCACCAACCCACACACTACAATAAATTTTCACTGGTTTAACACCTTACATACTGAGAAATCAAACCACACATCATATTTGAAACTTGATACATGATTTTAGTGGAACTGCCATTTTGAGTTTCCAGTCCCCATCAGAGATTGATGTTTATCAGTTTAATATTACAGCTACCTTTAAATAATGACATAATGACATCCAACTTGGTTTTGTATTACAGTTTTTATTAATTTTTCTGGTTTTCATTTGATTCACAGCATACAAAATTCATCATCTAAATTCACAGAACCTTTTTAAAACATTAAGCATATAAAATATATTCTTTTAAATACATAAGTTGTAAATATTTATAATGAATTGCTTTAAAAAGTTATTGTAAAATAGGTTAAATTCCTTCTCTATAAGTTAATACAAATGTTCAAAATATTATACAAAACTGAATTATATATAGAGTATCAATTAATCTTACCTATTGCAAGTGCAAGTGCAAGTATGCCTCCTGTACTAGTTCCCGCTAGCCAGTCGAAACAATGAATAATTGGAATATTTACAATATTTTCAATAAAGGAGAGCATCTGTATTAAAACTAAGCCTCTGATCCCACCACCGTCGAGACACAGCAAGCGACACCTTTTTGGCATTTTCAATGCATCTGTTTCATCTATATTTTTGGAAGATGATTGATTTTTGTTTCTTTGTAATGCAGCTACGACGGCAGCTGCTCCAATTAGTTCGTCGTACACTGCAAAAGATTGTTTCAAATATATTTATATTATAAAAATTATAATATAAATATATTTGAGTAGTTATTAACAGAAATTTCAATTCAATTAAATAAATTTGAATAATAAAAATTTATTTACATTTCGGAACACAAGAGAAATTATACTTCTCGGGCGCAACGCCATCGAAAGTACCGGCATTCGAACAGCCGTCGAAGCATTCTTCCTGTTCCACTGGACATCTTTTGGCTCCGACTGCATGTAATACATAAAGCAATTCTTTCTGAGATGTTTTTATTTTAGATATAATATGTCTCGGTGTTTCTCCGCTACCATTTACGGCATTAATATCGGCACCGAAAACAATCAAAGCCTGAACAAGAGTTATGTCGCCTGACTGTAAAACAAATGAAAATATTTTTTGAATATTGTTTTTATATCACTAATATAATTTTAAAAATTTACCTTCACTGCTAAATGAAGAGGCGTGTTTCCATCAACTCCTACCAAGTTAGGATTTGCACCATTGCTCAATAATGTCATTACACAACAAAAACGATTATGTTGAATCATTACGTGCAATGCCGTATCTCCTTGGAAGTTTTTTGAATCAAGCTTACAGCCAAGTTCTATTAATGCTTCTAAGCACTAAATACATGGGAAAACTTTTTTATTTAACACTTTATATCAATATTAACTGGATGTTAATATATACAATATTTTAAAAAATAAATGAGAAAAAGACTTCAAATAACAAATTGCTTCCAATCATAATGGTGCTAAATGTTAGAAACTTTCCATTAACATATTATAATTAAGTCTGAGTATATTTTAAAATATATTTATTATTGTTCTGAATTCAAGTTCTTAAGTAATTTAATTAGAAAGAAATCAGTATGTATATTTAATTTGTTTAGTTTTTATAAAAAATTTGTTTAAACATTTGTAAAAAGTTACTATATGTTATGATTTGTATGTTACAAGGTAGCAAGCAGGTCTTTTTTGCAATACAAAATACAAGCCCTTTGAGTAATTGTATAAGATGGTAAAAATATTGTAAACAGGACTAAAAGTACCGTTTAAGTGTAAAGATTAGAAACTCGTGAAAACTCTTAAAGGTATTATGAAATATGTTTTTTTTTTTAATTTTGTTGTAACATTATCTACTCAAATTGTTTTTTTTATCAATTTTTATAATTTAATTTATTTTGTAGCACTGAGGAGGAGCTAGTAAATTAAACTAGCTCGAAATGCATCTGTAAAAGACAATAAAAGGAGTTTATAACCTGAATTGGCTGTGAGGTAGTCTACCAAAAAGATTTTTTCAGATTGAAGAGACATTCACTAAATCAATATATTTATTATGTTTAAGATTTTAAATAATACATGACTTGTATAAAATAACTTTACTGGAGAAAATCAACACAATAACACATCATTCATCACAACCCAACTACTTTTGTGTGGGATGAGGTTATGGAATAAAGATGTTAAATGGAAAAATCCCAGCTTGTTGGAAGAAATAAGAAAGGAGAAGAATATATGGACAGCCAAAATGTATGGATTTAGAAAAAGAACTAAAAATCAGAGATACAAATAATAACATCGCAAAGCCCGAGTGGTATACAATAAATCACCAAACGATCGCCTAAATATCAGGCTATAATATGGCTAATTAAATTATTGGTATAAAGTAATTTGACACTAGAGGTAGACATTAGGTGCCATCTCTTAAGTAAATTAATAATTATAATTCAATAAATAAATAATTAAATAAATTTAGAACCTTCTGGAATAAAAGAACTGGCCCGGGACGGGGCTCGAACCCGCAACCTCCACTTGCCAGTTACGCCACCAGGACCCCAAGCGAGCCATTGTTTCCAGAATTATACTACATTAGATATAACCTTACTTGGTTAAATAGCCATATTATAGCCCAATATTTAGGTGATCGTTTGGTGATTTATTGTATACCACTCGGGCTTTGCGATGTTATTATTTGTATATATACCTCGCCGGGTAATGCAATAGCTGGCAGAGTGTCATTGTGGACATGTTCTTAGGCAGTGGGTGAAGGTATCATCCCCAGTCAGCACTGTATTTAACCAAGTAAGGTTATAACTAATGTAGTATACTTCTGGAAACGAAGGCTCGCTCAGGGTCTGGGTGGCGTAACTGGCAAGTGCACCGCACGGCAAGCGGAGGTTGCAGGTTTGAGCCCCGTCCCAGGCCAGTTCTTTTATTCCAGAAGGTTCTAAATTTATTTAATCATTTATTTATTTAATCATAATTATTAATTTACTTAAGAGATGGTGCCTAACATCTACCTCTAGTGTCAAATTACACTCACTGCCAAAAGTTAAGCACAGAGAAGAAAATGTTCATGTCTGGAAAGCAATCTGCATTTGAGAGGCTGCAATTCACTGCAGAGGTAGGTGGAAGTATGCAAATATGTTATGTTACTATCAATCATGGTTATGTGTCGCAAAATATGCAAAACAGGCAGTCGTATAAGAAGCCAGCCTTCTGCAGTATGAGAGGAGTTGCATGTAAGTGCCTAGAAAAAGTGTGGAGAACTGTCATAGAATTAGTGTGCATGACTGACGTGTTTCTATGACTTCCAGAAGACGAATGATAGACAGTGAGCACTGGCGGTGTGTGGGACGCCTTGAAGCAGGACAATCAATCACAGATGTTGCTCTTTTCTTCGGCGTTCATCATTCCATCATTTCACGATTATGGAAACAATTCCAAACAAGCCAAACAGTTGTCCAAAGACCAGTGGCCGATCGCCCAAGACTTATGACCCCTGCAGAAGATCGCTATATTGCTCTTGTAGCCAAGCAGAATCAAAGATCAACCTCTACACGTGTGACATCGATGGTTGCAGCAGCCATTGGTAAAACAATATCTGCTACAACTATGCGCCAAAGGCTACACATGAATGGACTGTACGCCCAGATACTACGAGTTTGTGTTCCACTATCCGTCCAATCCAGAGGCACACGATTAAAGTGGTGTCAGCAACATGTGAATTGGACTGTGTCTGATTGGGGCAATGTTATGTTCATGGATGAGTCGCAATTTTCCCTGGAGCCAGATGACAAACGTGTAAGAGTATGGAGAGAAAAGGGCATACGCAATCGACCCCAGAACATCATCGAGCATCACGCATTCCAAGGTGGGAGCATTATGGTGTGGGCAGGCATTTCGTTGGGATATCGCACCGACCTGCACATCTATCGAGGGGGTTCTGTGACAGCTGTCCGGTATCAGGATGAAGTCCTCGAACCCATTGTGAAATTGTATGCTGCAGCAGTTGGTCCTGCTTTTGTTTTAATGGATGATAACGCACGACCCCATAGAGCTGCCATCGTCGACGACTACCTCGAGAATGAAGGAATCGTGCATATGGATTGGCCGGCGTATTCAATCCCATTGAGAATCTTTGGGATGCCCTCAGCTGTGCTGTGTGTGCACGTTTCCCACCCCCTGCCACTCTCAGAGTTGCAAACTGCTTTACAGGAGGAATGGCACTTATTTGACCCTGGAGTGGTTGATCACCTCATGAAAAGCATGGTTACACGCTGTAAACTTTGTGTAAGGATAAGGGGTGACCATTTACCCTATTAATGTTGGCTTTGTTTGTTTGTTTTGGATTTAAACATCGTTTTGTTAATGATTCCAATATGATTTCATCTTATACTTTATGAAAATTCAATATTGTTTTCATTTTTTTATGTAATTCTTTGTGTTGTTTCATGCATAAACATATTTGCTACTGTCCTGCCACATTTTGTGTCAATCACAGCTATATTTGTCGACTTTTTTGCAGTTTATCGCTCCATGCTTAACTTTTGGCAGTGAGTGTATTTTAAACCAATCATTTAATTAGCCATATTATAGCCCGATATTTAGGCGATTTATATTTGGTGATTATATATTAGGCGATTATAGTTTGGTGATTTATTGTAAATCAGAAATAGTTAACATCAAAGATGGGAAGACAGGAATTGAGAAGGAGAAAAGAAAGTTTAATCAGAAATACTTTGTNTGTTTCGGAATGTTTGAATGCCACCCACTATCCAATTTACGTATTTTTGTTAAAAATAATAATAATAATTTGAATTGAGAGTATATTGATTTCTGCTAATTTTAAATTGAATTTAAATTGATGAGAGTTTTTCAAAAGAAAACCAATTTGCATAATAATGGAAACATTTTAAATTGCAATTGTTTTTGATTAATTGAATTGATTAAAATCTTAAAACGTACTCACTGCAAATTCGTTACATTGATGAATTTCGGTCAGAGCGTCTAACGTGGGATTATTAGCTATAAGGCCACCGTCGATGAATCGTCCGGACGAACGGAAGTAGGTGGGTGCGGCACCCGTCGAACGCGCAGCCCTCCAGACCAACTGCTCTGTGAATTAATTTGTATGTGATTAGATAGAAATAAATTTAAAATAATTTAATTTAACATCTGATTAAATAAATTTTTTACCATCCGGAGTCGGAGGTGCTTTAAACTGACTCGACTGCTCGCAGGTCACAAAAGGCGGATCATAATTACGAAATATGTGAAGATCTGCAGGATGTCTGTCTGCCAACACGCCGGTAACCATGACTCTAATTATTTGATAAGGTTTAATATTTTGTAAATACTGGTCTTATAAATAATAATCTTATTAATTTATTGATTAAATGACAATAGGAAATACAAAAAAAATTAACAAATAATTACTTTGGATTAATTGTAAATGGTAAGTAATTATCTTTTTCTGAATTTTCAGCCAAGTAAGTTGTGATTTGGCTCCAAAGTCAAAAAAAGATAATTATGGGGAAGGGTACTGTAATCTGATTTCTATACATATTTAATATTAAAATATAAATTAAATTTCAAATATATTACCATGTATCAAGATAAATNTAATTTGACATTAGAGGTAGACATTAGGTGCCATCTCTTAAGTAAATTAATAATTATAATTTAACAAATAAATGATTAAATAAATTTAGAACCTTCTGGAATAAAAGAACTGGCCCAAGACAGGGCTGAAACCCGCAAACTCCACTTGCCGTGCGGTGCACTTGCCAGTTACACCACCAGGACCCTGAGCGAGCCATTGTTTCCAGAAGTATACTACATTAGATATAACCTTACTTGGTTAAATAGCCATATTATAGCCCAATATTTAGGTGATCATTTGGTGATTTATTGTATACCACTCGGGCTTTGCGATGTTATTATTTGTATATATACCTCGCCGGGTAATGCGATAGCTGGCCGAGTGTCATTGTGGAAATGTTCTTAGGCAGTGGGTGAAGGAGTTGTCCCCAGTCAGCACTGTATTTAACCAAGTAAGGTTATAACTAATGTAGTATACTTCTGGAAACGAAGGCTCGCTCAAGGTCTGGGTGGTGTAACTGGCAAGTGCACCAAACGGCAAGCAGAGGTTGAGGGTTCGAACCCCATCCCGGGCCAGTTCTTTTATTCCAGAAGGTTCTAAATTTATTTAATAATTTATTTATTTAATTATTATTATTAATTTACTTAAGAGATAGTGC